CGGCACTCTGCCCAGGGGGACAGCTTGAGGCTCTGTCTCAAAAAAAAAAAAAAAAAAAAAAAGAGTGAGTGTGTATGTGCTTCTGGACCCACATGTGTTTAATAGGTTACTTTCAACAACTTATTTCTAATGATGACACTATCTTAAATCTCACTGAATCTCATATTCTTGCTATGGGAATCCATCTTATCCTTCTATATCTAGAGTCTGAAAAGGGCTGAGGGTTAAGATCAGATTCCATCTGCATTTCTACTTCACACAATAGAATCCCAACCCCTGCAAAAATTTGTACTTTCTAGAAAGAGATTTTCAAACTTCTCCTCCATCCCTTTTTTGTAAAGTCAAGAAATCTTCACTTCAAATGAAAGCTTAAGAAGAAACTCAATATAAAAGATTGAACTAAAGCATCTCTAGTTGAAGAATAGAAAGAAGAGGAGAGGTTAGGTAGGGCAGGTAGCAGGTATCCCGTCTATCGAGCCATCTTATCACCCCTTCTCCCCTAACCTCTGCATTATCCTTTGGCTTTAGAGAATTCTCTCAGAACAAGGCTAAGAATGATTTACTGTTTGGAAGTATCAATTAGCATTATGTCTACTGTAGTCCATAACTATTTTTAGTATATGCTAAATGTATTATTGGCCTCAAAAGGGTAGTTAATTGAAATAGTAAGAATGACTCACTTCAAAGAGAAGCAATTTGTTTCTAGAGGGAATTGAACTAAAAAATAGAGAGAAATAAAACAAATTGTTGTTATATTACACAACTATCTTTTTTTGTTTATTTGTTTTGAGACAGAGTCTTAATCTGTTGCCCTGGGTAGAGTGTCATGGTGTCACAGCTTACAGCAACCTCCAACTCTTGGGCTCACGCAATCCAATTGCCTCAGTTTTTTCTATTTTAGTAGAGACAGTCTCGCTTTTGCTCAGGCTCATCTCGAACTCATGAGCTCAAGAAATCCACTCACCTTGGCCTCCCAGAGTGTTAGGATTTCAGGTATAAGCCACTGCACCCAGCCATATACCACTATCTTAAAAGAATTATCATATAGATATGATAAAGCATGTTAAAGGGAAATATTTTCAACTAAATTTTATAAATATGGTGGCGCCCTTAGCTCAGTGAGTAGGGTGTCAGCCACATGCATCAAGGCTGGTGGGTTCGAACCCGGCCCAGGCCAGCTAAAACAATGACAATTGCAACAACAAAAAATAGCCAGGCATTGTAGCAGGCGCCTATAGTCCCAGCTACTTGGGAGGCTGAGGCAAGAGAATCACTTAAGCCCAAGAGTTTGAGGTTGTTGTGAGCTATGATACCACAGCACTTTACCCAGGGCGACAGCTTGAGACCCTGTTTCAAAATAAATAAATAAATAAGTTTTCTAAATACTCTTGTTAACCTTTATAAAGGCCATTTGCCAAAATCAGTAACCACCAATATATATATATATATATTTTTGGTAGAGAGAGGTCTCTGTCACCCAGGGTGAAGTACAATAGCACAATCACTACTACAGCCTTGAATTCCTGAGCTTGAGGGATTCTCCTGCCTCAACTTCCCTAGTAGCAAATAACTCTTAATTAGAAAGTTATTCCATGGCTTTAGTACTAACATAAATAACTTCTAAGATAACTAGGTAAGACCAAAAGTCAGAATTTAGTCTACAGGACACATAGGACACATAGACCAATGAAACAGCATGGAGAACCTAAAACAAAAGCCACATACAGTAGGACCTCTGTAAGCTGACCACTGAAGGAACTATAAAAACTGGTCAACATACGTAGGTGGTTAACATAAGGAACCAGGCCTATTGTACTAATACATACATGTGTTACATGTTCTGTCTATGAAAATTAGGTCAACTTAAGGAAGTGGTCGATGTAGGGAGGTGATCAACTATGACAGTAGTTCTCAACCTTCCTAATGCCGCAACCCTTTAATACAGTTCCTGTGGGTCACAACCCACAGGCTGAGAACCGCTGAACTATGAGGTTCTACTGTATTTACAGACAAATGATCTTTGACAAAGCCAACAAAACACACCCTCTCCAATAAATGGTACTGGGAAAACTGGATAGTCATACACAGAAGAAAGAACTTGGGACTCCTCTTACCAAATGTAAAAATCAACTCAGGATAGATTAAAGACTTAAAACATAAGACCCAAAACTATAAAAATACTAGAAGGAAATCTAGGCAAAACTCTTTGGGACATTGGTGTAGGAAAAAATGTATGACTCAGACCTCAAAAGCACAGGAAACAAATAAAAATGGACAAATAAGACTTAAAACTAAAAAGCTTCTGCATAGCAAAAGAAATCAACAAAATGAACAGGCAACTTATTGAAGGAGAAAATATTTGCAAACTATTCATTTAACAGGGGACTAATATCCAGAATATACAAGGAACTCAAATAACCTGACAACAATAAAAAACAAATAATTCCATTAAAAAGTGGGAAAGGCACATAAATAGACAGTTTTCAAAAGAAAACATACAAATAGCCAACAGGTATATGAAAAAATATTCAATATCATTATTCAACAGAGAAATGCAAATCAAAACATAATGAGATATCTACTCCACTAAAAATGGCTACTTTTTGGCTCGGTGCCCATAGCACAGTGGTTACAGCGCCGCCACATACACCAAGGCTGGAGGGTTCAAACCCAGGGCCAGCTAAGCAACAATGACAATTGCAACAGAAAAATAGCTAGGCATTGTTGCGGGCGCCTGTAGTCCCAGTTTCTTGGGCGGCTGAGGCAAAAGAATCGCTTAAGTCCAAGAGTTTGATGTTGCTATGAGCTGTGATGCCACAGCACTCTACCTAGAGTGACATAGAGAGACTCTGTTTCAAAAAGAAAATAAAAATGGCTACTTTTTTCCCAAAATGGCTATTATTAAAAAGACAACAAGTATCAGATGTTGGCAAGGATGTAGAGAAAAGGGAACCATACACGGTTGGTGGAAATATAAATTAGAACAGTCTTCATGGAAAATAGTATGGAGATTTCTCAAAGAACTAAAAACTGAACTACTTTTAGGTCCAGCAATTCTAGTACTGGTTATCCACCCAAAGAAAAACAAATTAATATATCAAAAGATACCTGCAGTAATGTGTTTGTGGCAGCCTATTTACCATAGCAAAGATATTGAATCAATATCAATGAATGAATGGATGAAGCAAATGTACACACACACACACACACACACACACATATATATATAAAGGAATATTATTTAGCCACAAAAAAGAATAAAATCGTGTCTTTGTAGTAACATGGATGGAACTAGAGGTCATTATGTTAAGTAAAACAAGCCAGGCACATAAAGACAAACATCACATGTTTTCCTTTCTAAGTGGGTACTAAAAAATGTGTTCACATTTACATAGAGAGGGGAATTACAGAAGGTGAAGACTCAAAAGGGTGAAAAATAAGAGAGGGGAAGATGATGAGAACTTGGTTAATGGATATAATGTATGTTATTTGGGTAATGGATACCTTAAAAGCCCTGACTTCACCACTCTGCCATCGTATGCATGCAACAAAACTGCATTATGTACCTAATAAATTTGTACAAGTAAGAAGAAAACAAAAAAAAGAATTTAGTCTACAGTTTTTATTTATGTAAGAGTACTTTTCTGGAAATAAAGCTTTTTGTTTTGTTTGTTTTTTTGTTTTGAGACAGAGCCTCAAGCTATCACC